GGATCACACTTGTAGAACCACTGTGCTAGAAGGTTCTGGTCTACCCAAGCTGCAGTGAAGGAGGGGCCTCCCAACAAGGAGCTCTGGCCTCCACCAGGCCACCAGGACCAGGCTCTGCTGCAGACAGCCACACCAGCCATTCCTATCATTCATTCTTTTTTTTTTTTTTGGAGTTTTTGGCCAGGGCCAGGTTTGAACCCACCACCTCTGGTATATGGGGACAGTGCCCTACTCCTTTGAGCCACAGGCACTGCCCCCTGTCATTCATTCTTGACAGACCTTTCTTTTCAGCTTCTTTTAAAACTGTATCTGTTTATCTGGTTGGTTGGCTAATGTCAGGGTTATTGTCTATCTCTGTTCCTCACACAGAGTGAAATGGATGAGACTCAAATCCAGTTGGCTGGAGATGATGTGGATGTGCCTGAAGATCTCCGGAAAATGGTAGATGAAGATCAAGAAGAGGAAGAAGATAAGGATTCTATTCTGGGGCAGTTACAGAATCTCCAGAATATGGACTTGGACACCATAAAAGAAAAAGCCCAGGCCACCTTCACGGAAATGAAGCAGACAGCGGAGCAGAAGTGCTCTGTGATGTGAGGGCATGGAGGGTGAGGGAGGGAACCGGGCTGCACACAACAAGACCACCCTCCCAGGGAGCATCCCAAGCACTATGTATTTTAACATAGCGAACATGGCTAGAAGAACCACGGTGATAAAGCTCTCCACAAGCACAGACAACATTTGACTGTTGGAAATGTTTTTCTGGCCCAGCACTTAGCTAGCACCTTTCAATTATACTTTCCTTTTAGTTATGACTATGACATTTCAGCTGTAAATAATGATGCAGAACTCAGACCTGCTTCAAGATCTTGAGGAGAACCCAGAAGGAACAAAAGCAAATGGCATTTCTTCCCAGTTTCTTCCTCAGAGGGCAAGGTGTCACCCTGCCCAAACATTAGCATGATGTCTCTCTTCAGAGAAAGAGGTGGAGAGTCGGGGTGACTGCTGGGGCCACCGCTGCAGGCTCCAGGGCAACCAAAGGTCACTCCACCTCTCACCCCGGCGCCTTGACCTCATCCATGCTTCTCATCCATGCTTCTCATCAAGTTTGGCACTGGGACACTTCTCAGCCAAGCATCAGTAGTGGGGATTTGATAAAGGGTGAGGAATGGAGGCAGAGAACTGAACTCACCAGCCCTTTGCTTTGGACATCATGGGGCCATTGGAAGAGTGGACTCGGAGAAGGCAAAATTAGAGGCAGATGGACAATGAGGGAGGCTATTGCTGTTTATGATTTGAGCTTAACTCCTCTTGTATGAGCATGGGGACAGCAGCAGGAACAAAGCAGGTGGACAAATAGCATGAAGTAGTTAAATTCTCCCTCTGTCTCTCTTTGTTTCAGACTACTTTTCAATAAATCACGGTGTCATTGGGTGGTACAGGCTTCCAAGGTAGACTCTGATTTCTTTTTCCTAAAATCTACTCTTCCAAACGGACTTATTCAATAGACTTAGAACATTTACCTCTATTTAGCCAAACCCAACCAAACCAAGACAAATGACTGGTTTTCTTTAATGGGTCTGTTCACAGAATGACTAATACTCAAAGACAAATTTTGTCAATAGGAACTGTTTTATCAGAGGAAAAGGGAATTATGTCCAAAAAGTTAAAGGCTAACTCATTCTACACCTGGAGTTCCCAGTTATATTGTATAAGAAGTTTCATGTTATAAAAAATGTGCAAATAAATCATTAGAGGTCTAGAATCTATGGTTCTTGGCAAAGTGTAGCCCTTCTTGAAGGTTTCTGGGAGAATATCAGTGCGATGTTTGAAGTTAATGAGCCTTAGAGTCCATAAACCCAGGTACTGTGGGCACATTTTAAAACCATACTTGTTTTTCATCAGTACTAGCATGTAAATTGTGAGTTGCTGTATAGCAGAAACTTTACAATATTCCATTTTTAAAACTACAGAATAATAGATAAGATTTATCTTCAGTTCAATCCCTGACTCTGCCCTATAGTGGATGGGGTGGTGGGATGGACCAGTGAGAGGGGCCACATGGGGCCTGATGTATCCTTTGTTGTGACATAAAGATCGTTCCCCAGACCAGCTGCATGATGATGCAGAATATTTCCTGTTTTGTAAAAAGTACAGCCAATGCTGCTAGGAAGTCACTAAATCAGCACTTCATCTTGACAATCAGAATTACTCTGATACCATTTGGTCACTGTCCCAATGGAGCTGCATGATTGCTAGAAGACTCTGGCCATAATTCCTCAGATGTCACAACCTACCACAGCACAACTCACAACCCCATGACATAGCCCACCATGCCACACCACAGCACACAACAGTATACCATGCCATGTTACACCATGCCATGCCACCCTACACCAAGCCACCCCTCCTCACACCTGATTTCACCAACCCAATCACATGTGGCTGGTTGTGTATACAAGGAGAGTGTATACTAGGGCAGATGTCCTCAAACTACGGCCCACGGGCCACATGCGGCCCACTGAGGACATTTATCCAGCCCACTGGGTGTTTTTGCCACCACAGCCTGTCCTGCTTAGCAGCCGACTTGTCCCTGGGCCTGCAGTCCAGCCCTCCAATGGTCTGAGGGACAGTGAACTGGCCCCCTGTTTAAAAAGTTTGAGGGCTCCTTTCCCTTTTGAAAAGGTAGACAGGTGGCCATCCCTTGCCATGTTGATGAGCAAGTTCTTCCATCATCAAAACATGGAACCCAACAATTACAAAGGACTAGGAGGGAATCTCTTCCAATCTACCATATAGTAAAGGAACCTCTTCTGAGACATCTGAATTGAGCCTTATCTGTTAGCTCCCAGTGGTGCCAAATTCATCATCTGCTGCTCCAAGGGAATTTAGCTGCCAGTTTTTCTGTTTATAGACACCTTTCTGATTGCTAGAAAATCCTTTCTTGTCTTCAGCTGAAAATGGCTGCATCTTTGATCCATTTGTCATTGTTCTGCCATATGGATCTACATAGGCCACACCCAACATTCCCAGTCAGGCCTTTAATGATGCCGATAGTCAGTGTTCTCATTTCCAAATAAAACATGCTTACTTCTTTTAATCAGTTCTCATCAGATAGTAGGGGCACTGTTAACACACTGGGTAATTACTCTGTCACTGAGCAGTAAAGCCAGCCATGCTGTCAGCTACCACACCCTGCCTCTGGACTTCAAGTCATCCCTGAGCCAACTCATACTGTAGTTAGAAATTGGGATCTTAGCCCCAGTCCTGCTAGTGCATGACATTGGACAAGTCATTTATTCCCTCTGGAGATTCATTTTCTCAACAGTAAAAGTGAAGGGCCTTACTTCTATGGGTTCAGGGTGGTTAATAACAAATGGAGATTTATCTTGTGAAAGAGAGGACATTAGCCCATTGTCACTGTCACAGAGTTAACTCCAGCTGAGCAAAGGGACATCAGGCCCAGGGAGCAGAGAGAGATTTAGAAGGTACCTGATGAGAGGGAGGTCAGGAATACAGAGAGTTCCTCATGGAGGGGAAAATCTAGGGATCCAGGGAGCATTTCTATCGACACAAGGAACCATAATGACTCTGGGGAAAAGTACTGAAGAGTAAGTTCCAGGAAGACAAATGAACTCTCCAGTGTTGCCTGGAGTCAGTCTAGTCCCAATTAGATACAGACTCCTACAGCTTAATGAAGCAGGAGTTCTGCTTTTGAAAGACTATTGATACAGTGAGCTCAGTTATCCAGAGACCAACTAATCCAGTTTGTGAGTTATATAATCACTTCAGTTTTGCTCCTGGCATTACAAATTTAGCCAAATCACTCCTTACAAACAGAACCATCAGAGACAGGGAGAGGAGTGAAATTTGAAAGGAACACACTGGGGCTTCCAGCTTCTGATGGCGGAGAATCAGCTCCTACTGGATCACCCCTCCTGCAGATCACACTTACAAACTCTGAACAAAATATAAAGAAACAATTGGCTGAAGGCCCTGGAAGCAGCCCAAGCTGGTCTTCATTGGAGAGAAATCAAATCTACACTTGGAAGAGGAGAAAAGCTCTGGTGAGTGCTCCTTTGTTTATAGGTTTCATCTGAGAGCAAGCTCCAGGTGAAGCCAAGTAAGATGAGTAGAATTCAGAGAGAGACGTGCAGCCTCTATGGCTAGAAGAGCCCACAGAGTTTGTGGTGAATTACAGCAGCTGTAAAATGAACGAGCAAATCCTAGAAAGGAAAGAGCCATAGAAAAGAGTCCTAAATTCTGTATATGAAGTCTGTTCCAGAAAGAAAGAAGAAAGAGTAAACAGACTTTGAGGACTCACTGCACTGAAACTCACACGCTCCCTTGACTTTGGGGTTTTCTGATTTTTGCCTTTTATTTTTTTTTAATTGTGGCAAAATATACACAACATAAAATCAGGAAATTTAACCACTTGTAAGTGTATAGTTGAGTGGCATTAAGTATATTCCCATTGTTGTGCAACCATCGCTACCAGCCATGTCTGGAACTTTTTTTGTTTTCCCAAACTGAAACTCTGTACCAATCGAACTTTCCAATACTCCTTTGCCCCAGTCCCTGCCAATCACTATTGTGCTTTCTGTGTCCATGAATGTGACTACTCCAAAAGTCCCTCATATGAGTGGAGTCACATACTGTTTGGCCCTTTGTAACTGGCTTATTTCACTTACCATATGCCTTCAAGGTCTATCCATGTTATAGCAGGTGTCTGAATTCTCTTCATAAAGGAAAGAATAGGGTTGAGTAATGTATATGCCTTGTTTTGCTTATCCATTCAAGTCCCTGCTTTCAATTATTTTTCATCTATGTCCAGAAAGTGGAATTACTCAATCATTCTTCGGCTTTTGTCTACATCAGAAAGAGCAGTAGCCAGGCACTGTGGCAAGTGCCTGTAATCCCAGCTACTGGGAAGACTGAGACAAGAGAATTGCTTGAGCCCAAGAGTCTGAGGTTGCTGTAAGCTATGACACCATGGCACTCTACTGAGGGCAACAAAGCAAGACTCTGTATCAAAAAAAAAAAAAGAAAGAAAGAAAGAAAGAAAAGGAAAGAAAAAAGGAAGAGCAGAAAGAGAGCCACAAAACTCATGCTTGGAAAATGTAATAAAATTTGAAATCATATAAATTAAATTCAGATTTAGATTTAGAAATCTTATATATTTTTTCCTTATAAAAAAATTTTTTTTTTTTTTTTTTTTT